CATTGGTGGGGTCAGCATTTCTAAGATGTTAGCATCAGTCCGATTTCCTAAGAATATAAAGAATGCTATAGTGAGTCGCATCAATGGTTCAATCGGTTCAATATTTTGTTTCTCAGAGTGGCACCAAGGAAGCATTTAGGATAGGTTTAGACACTGATCTCTTTGACTCTAGTCCCCGAAAGTTAGAAGTTAGGGTAGTCTCATAGGCATTTCTGATTATCTTTTTTTTTTAATCCTCACCCAAGGATATTTTTCCATTGGTTTTTGGATAGAGTGGAAAAGAGGTTATGGAGAGAGAGGGAGAGAGGGAGGGAGGGAGAGAGAGAGAAAGATCAATGTGAGAGAGACACATCGATTAGTTGCCTCCCTCATGACCTGGACCGGGGCCAGGGATCTAACCTGCAACCCAGGTATGTGCCCTTGACTGGGAATCAAACCCATAACCCTTTGGTCCAAGGACCAATGCTCTAACCACTGAGTCGAACCGGCCAGGGCCATTTCTGATTTTCTTGTTTTTTGATTCCTCAAATATTCCAAGTGTAGGGATATAACAGTATAAAAAGCACGTCTCCTAGCTTGATCAAAGCTTAACATCATAGTTATTTCAGATACATATTTAAATTTTAAAATAAAATGTGGATCTTGTCAATGTTCTTGGTTACCACTCCTGCCCCAGAGGCACCATCACCCCAAACTTCATGTTGATCATGTCCATGAATGTTTTCCTGGCTTAAAAAAGTGTTACTCTTCTGCCCATTAACTTAGTCTAAAAACCTAAACTATTTACAGGTATAGGCACAACCTGAACAACCTCTTATGATGTAGAAAAACAAATCCAGAAGTAAGGGGACCACTGGCCTTATTTAATCTTTCCATGTACTAAGTTTTCTTTTGGAATGATGATCCACCCAACTTGGATGGGATGACAATAAAAGGCAATAATAAGAACAAATGTTCTTTGGAAAAAAGATAAAGCATCGCCCACCTGCAAGGTTCTAAGACTTTTATTAATGAATTCCTTGGATGTCTAACTCCCTTCACAAAGTACCAGTTTATTTTATTGGTGTTCAGACAGAATTGACAGAGTGGCCCCCATTCTTCCTGATCAAGAGCTTTCCTTCCCAGCTTGATTTCATAAACTTCGGGTAAAACTCTTCTAAGTCCTTGTCTTTCTAGACGAAGAGGTAGAATTGTTTTATTTTATTTTTTCCCCAAAGGAAAAGTATTCTGTTAAACAATTTTCCAAATGGTTTTTCTAAGCCTTTTCTAAGTCCGTTCTATATTTCTGGAGGCACAGTAGCCAAAACTGCCCGGAGCATTACAGGTGCAAAAGTTTTGCTTAGGTGAAGATTTATTCAAGCACCTGAACATGACTACATGCAAGTAAACAAAACCAAACCCACCCGTATCAAAACCACAATGAGACACCACCTCTCACCTAATAGGATGGCTATTATAAAAAAAACCCAGAAAATAACAAATGTTAGCAAGGTTGTGGAGAAATGGATACCCTGTGCACTGTTGGTGGGATTGTAAAGTGGTGTGGAAAACACAATGGCGGTTCCTCAAAAGCAATTAAAATAAAATGATCAGATTACTCATCAACTCCACTTCTGGGTATATAACCCAAAGTGTTGAAAGCAGGGTCTCAAAAAGATATGTATACACCTATGTTCATAGTAGTATTATTCTCAATAGTCAAAAAGTGGAAGCACCTCAAATTTCTATTAACAGATGAATGGACAAACACAATGTGGTCTATACATACACAATTCAATAATATGTGTTCTTTAAAAGGAAGAAAATTCTGATATATGCTACAATATGGATGGATCTTGAGGAAGGACATCATGGTAAATGAAATACACCAGTCATCAAAAGGTAAATACTGTAGGGCTCACTGATAGGAAGTACGTAGAATGGTCAAATTCATAGAGGCATAGGGTAGAATGGGGGTTACTAAGAGTTAGGAGTATGGGAGTTACTCTTAAATGGGTATGGGATTTTAAATTTATAAGATAAAAAGAGCCCTGGCCAGTTTGGCTCAGCAGTTAAAGCGTTGGCCTGCGGTCCAGAGAGACCCGGGTTCGGTTCCCGCTAAGGGCATGTACCTCAGTTGCAGTTTGTCCCCGGCCCTGGTTGGGTTGTGTGGGTGGCAGCCACTCAATGTGTCCCTTTCACGTTGATTTTTTTTCTCTCTCTTTCTCCCCCTCACACTCTAATGTCCTCAGGTGAGAATAAAAAAAAAAAAAATCATGAAAAGAGTTCTGGAGATGGGTTATATAGCAATGTGAATGTACTTAACACTACCAAACTATACACTTAAAAAATGGTAAAGATAGTTAAAAAAAAAAAAAAAAAAGCAACCCCCAAACCAAATGAAGTCTAGAGCATTAAGGTTCATATAAAATTATGAGGATATTACAAAAGCCGGGCAAAGTCTCCATCGAGCAGCACCCACGACCACAAGCGTAGCTTTTCTGCTGCTAAAAGAGGTCTTCTTGAATGTTTTATCCACGGTTCACGTGGTTCATCACCAACTTATTTTGCCAACAAGGTACTAAGACCCATATGTGCTTTTGTTGTCTCTCTCAGAACCTGGAACATTACTAAGCATTTACAGGTTGTTTCTAGGAAGGGCTCAATAAATACTTGTCGGTGGACTGACTGATGGAAGGGACCGTGATTACATGTGTAACTGTGGCAATCCAGACCTAACACAGGTCTTAGTTTACTAGCTGACCACAGCCTACATCACTTCTCTAGGCCTCATTACTGAGTTTTTGTGAAGATTAAATGGGTGATTGCTTAGCATAGTATTTGGCTAGAAAAATCAAGGAAGGAGGTAAAGGTAAATATGTAAGAAGCAACTGGGTTGATTGGATCTGGTCTATGACCATTTACCATTATATCCATGTACCTCCAGAAGACACCAGTGCTTAGTAATTTTTTCAGTAAATAATTATTGAATGAATTAATGAACTATAGGATAAGGGTGAAATTCTGAATTCTGTTAAACATAAATTTATCAAATAATTCCTTAATTTATTTTAAAGACAAGGACTCAGTAGATCATGACAGGAACATGTATTCATTTCTGGGAATTATCTTAGCTTTTCAGACCCTTGTGGGTCTATTTTAAGTTTACTTAGCACCTACTATATTCCCATCACAGTCTCAGCATCAGCACTACAACATAAACAAAATACATCCCGGCCCGTTAGTTGCTCCCAGTCAAGTGGAAGAGACAAGTATGGAAGCACATGGGGCATTAGGGGCCACACTGGATGCACATCCAAGGTGGTGCAGAGGGAAGGTCCATCAACCCTGCTGGAGGAGAGGATGGTTTTGGTGAGGGAAGACCCCCCGAGGGCAAGACATTTGAACTGGGTCAGGAAGAACAGATAGGGCTTCTCCAGGTGGAGAAAGGGAAAAAGACAGTGGGGACCAGATGTGCAAAGGCATGAAACACAGGTGAGGGAGATGAAACCACCAGATCCTTCAGGGAAATGTCCGTTGTTTCCAGGAAGCACAGAGCAAAGTGCCAGGAAGGAAAGTAGCCTCAGGCACAGGCAGGAGCCAGATGACCTGGAGCTCATTTGCTTGCAGAGAAGTAAGGAAAAAGCTGGGAAGGAAGGTCTATAGATTTTGGCTGTAGCAAACAGGATGGATATGAGAGATGTTGAGGGTGGCGAATTCAAATGTGTTCACATTATTTTAGTTGCTCTGTAAGTGACTAAAACCTGGAACCACCAGCCACATGCATACTAAAGTCATATCTGCAAGATGTTTCATGTTGGCACATTACCTGAAAACTATGCTCTCACTTAAAGAGTGAAGTGACAAAGAGCAGACTCTGTGACTCATCCTCAACAATCATTACCTCTGCTGACTCCTAGTGCATTTGCTTCCCGATAAACCCGAGGAATTAACTTTGATGAAATTCCATGCCTTGGTTTCAAAAGGGAAGTCAAAGTTCTCTTACATGTAGATCAAGTTCCAGCATGGAGGGTTTTATCTCTCAAAACTCCAAGCTACAAAGGTCTATAAAGAAGGTGGGTGCTCTGCTAACATTGTGGCTAGAAGATTCTAGTGACGTTGAGTTGAGTGTGGTGGATAGATAAGCCCAGCTGAGTGATGCCTGAGAATGAGGAATCTGGGTCCAGGAATGGAAATGAGAGGTGGTGACAACTTTTCAGGGCAAGTGTTTAAATCTGTCCTGGGGTAACCTGAAGAACTTGACCCTATGCTTACAGACAACACCCTGGGGCTGGGCTAATACAGAAGGTGAGAAGATGAGAAACCCAATTAGATGATACAGAAGCTCAGCTGGAACCACTGGATTTTGGCAGGCTCTCCAAGTGCTCTAGAATTAACCCAGATGAGCTAAGTCTTCAGAAAGGCACCACATCTAAGGTGGCAGTCGTGAACAACTACCGGCAGGTATGTAGAATACTGTAAATTTCAGTTACCTAACTATTATTACCAGCTGTGAGTAAATCATTTGCTCTAATACTAATAAACCATCGACAGTTCCTCTATATCTATGTTCACCTATACTGCATAGAATTCCAGTCATAATCTCATAGTCTTCGAAACAACTTTGCCCAAATATTAAAAAACAATTTTTGACCAAGATTTCCCAAGGTCCACCATCAAATCCTTGACTTCTATAACATTTAATCTGGGTTTATTCCCTTCCTCCATCCTCCTGTTCTCCAAGTCCCTTCCCAAGACTCTTTCAAAACTTTAAGATCACTTATGAAAATACTTAAATTAGTGATAGGAAAAAAAAAAAGTTTAAGACCAGAAAAGTAACATTGAAACACAAACCAAATGCCTCATATTCAATACAAGTTCATTTTACAAACTAGGTCGTTGGTTAAAATGGTATAATTACATGCCAAATTCCCAAATGTTCACTGACAGTTACTGATCATGAAAAAGGTCAGCAAATCACTTGAGCAAGAGACTAACAAGAGAAAAATCGGGGGTCTCACCCAGTTCCACATCTTGGTCATCGGTGAGCACAAGAATAATGTTGGGTCGGATGTTTTTTCGTTCCTGCGGTATCCGTCCTCTGAACCTCGGGGATCTGACAGTGGAGCAGAGGCTCCCCAGCAGTTCCGTGCTCAGGACAGCCAGAACCAGAGCCCAGCAAGAATACTTCATTATGTTTGGTCCACTGTCGAAAACAGACAAAACGTCTCAGCTCCTGGTTTCTGCAGGTTTGAGCAGTTAGAGAAAAAGCGAGAGGGAGAGACAGAAATGAAATCCAAACCCCAAACACAGTTGCAGAAAAAGGGCTTCAGCTAAGTGAGACCTGGCACATTTGCAGGCAGAGAACAGGCTGCGCATGAGTCAGAACCGGCAAACCCTCAGAGGCGCTGGGTCGGTTTTTTTTTTTTTTTTTTTTTTTTTTAAGCACTTGATTATTTTGCAAATTCACTTTTGTCCTTTATTCTCATTCCAACTTTTCCTATTTCAGTGCATTGCCAAAATACCACTTCCAGCACAGGGCTCGAATGCAAAAGCTTTCTGATAAGAGCGAATACCTTGAATTAGGTATCCTGGTTGAAAAATAAATTTCTCTGCTCGGAGGTGTTCAGAACATCTGTAGATGGGGTCCTGGAAGGGGGAGAAAAAAATACAAAGAAAACATTGGTCAAGGGCTTTGATACAGGTTTTTGGTATGCTTAAAACAGCATAATATAATATATATATAAAATATGCATATATAATATATATGTATTTTTTCCATCTGCACTCCAAAAGAGAGAAACATAAGGAAACAACACTCAGAACTATTAACGAATGACTCAAACATCTTCATTCCATAATCAGCTCCATAAAACGGCGATAAGGGTATCCCCACTCACACCCTAATTACACTTGAAACCTCCCCAGTAGGCAAAGGAGGGCCGGGAAGAGCCAGCTGCGCATGTGCAGAGCGCACCTGGTGGGCAGTCAGGCGCGAGCGGAGGGTTGGAGGAGCGCTCACTCGCCCGCATGAGCCTGAGCACTTGTCTAGTAGAATGAAACACAAAGCTGTCATTTGTCATCTGCACTATGTCTCTCACTACCCAGGAGAGTTCTTTCTGCTGACAAAGACTTCACAGAAAGGAGGGCAATTTCTCCCAGCCTCTGGAAACATCCTCACTGTCCTCCATCAATCACCAGGGGAAGAGGCGCTTCGTCCGAGCAAGGCTCGTCCTTCTGTGCGGCCCGTGTCCTCAGTGCGCTGGCGCCTAAGGGGACAGAGCCCTCCTTTGACTGTCAGCACCAGCCTCACTATTATCAAGACCCGGTGCAGCGCCGCCAGCACAGAGGTTGTGCTTTGCTGCCGCAGATCTAAACCTGCAAAGCGAAATGATTGATTGGCTCCAAGGCTGGGGGTTAGAGGCTACCCTCCCACATTAAAAAAAATAAATAAAATCCAGAGAGAGCACAGTCTCTGCCAGTCTGTACAAGAGGAGAGAGTTTGAAAGGGCTGGAAATGCCCCTCTCACTTTAAAACGCTAACCTGCTGCAAGCTTTTCTCTTAGGCTTCTGAAAGTTGGCAAAGGGCTCATAAAAAAAAAAAAAATCTGTCTCTTGGAGGCAGCGTCTGTATGGGAATGTAGGCTGCCCTAAAATTAATTAGATGGCAGCCCCCTTCCAGCCCCCTTCATCAGTTCCTCTGTCCCCACACACCTGAGGGGCCTGTATTTTGATCTGCATCAGATAAGTAAACATAATGAATTAAGTGTGAGCACAGCGTAGCAGGAGGGAAGGGCCTGCCTCGCTCACGTCCACGCCTTACTTCTGGAGGGTGGCATGGGCCACGAAAGAAGAAAGACTGTGTACTCTTTGCCCCAGCCACACACACAGCATTTTGTTTACATAAACACATCCCCCTATTATTTTAAACTTTATGAGCTGTTTTGTAAACATTTCTAATGCTTTTCACTCTGCAGCCTGTAATTACTGCGAGAGAGAGAGAGAGAGAGAGAGAGAGAGAGAGAGAGAGAGACTCAACAAGAAATAGGTTTTTAAACAAAAATCTAGTGTCTGCAGCAAGGCAGTCCCGACTGGCCCTGTGGCTCCGTGGAAGGGTTTTCTCGGTACTAACTCAGAGCTATTTCAGGGATTGCTGGGCATGCTGAACACTGGAAGCCCACAATTGTTCTGAACTGACTTTTTGGTTTCTGACCATTTGTTTTAAATCATGAGAAAACTGATATGAGCACAAAAGGGCAGGAAAACGAAAGACAAGGTGTCAAACAATGGCTTTCTCCCACAGAGCATGTACCAGGCTCCATTAAATACAGGCATGTCTCAGAGGGTCAGTCCTTTAAGCAAGGGTGTGTGAAGAGAGTGAGCAGGGCTTCCTTGCATCCACTATCTACAAACCAAACTCTGCTGATGGAAGTGACCTGGGAGGGCCCTGTCAGACTCACTGTGCGGAGTTTAACTAATCAGCCACACCGGCAACTGAAAAGTCTTGACAATTAAGATGCTGATAACATTCCCTGGAACCCAATCAACATTACTGGCTATTCTTCTCTTTATCTTATTTACTTTACTTCTTCCTTTAGGAAAGAGGAAATTAGTATTAATGATCCCTTATATAAATTACATTGAAAATCATTTCCTAATAAAGAGAAGGGAGACAGAGTGTTTTTATTTTCTTTTGTTTTGTTTTGTTTTTTTTACCTATAAAGTGACCTTCCCTTCTGGAGAGTTGAAGGTACAGAAGAGACCTACATGCCTTCTGCCACGGCTTGTTACTGATTCAGGGGATTTGTGTGTAAAAACGGGAAGCTGAGCAGTAAAGAACTTTCCGACAGGTCTGGCCAGCAGGAGCGCTCCTTGCTTTATCCCACCCCCTTCGCTCAGACACACAAAACACACCACTGTGCGCAAGCCGCACACAGACAATTCTTTATTCAAAAATGACCTTTTCAAACCTGTCATCCTCTCACTGCCTGGTTTCCAGCTCCAGCAGGAAAAGAAGTAAAGAAGCAGAAGAAAAAAAACCATCAGACAAAATGCAGAACTTGACAAAGGAGACAAGGATGCAATGTTTGAATTGGATACTTTGCAGGGGACGACAAGTGTCCTTAGAGACTAACGATTTGTCTTGAGAAATACTAGAAAATGGGAGAAATGTAGAAAGAGGTTTTTCTCACATGGGAAGGGAGCTTGAGGACCGGTCTCCAAGCCCTAGAGTGAAAATACCAATTGTCGTTAAGACCAATCAGTGGGCAGAGTGTACAGGACTTTGTTTAGGGCAGTAAGCCAAACTCTGAATGTGACATTAAAAGTTTCAAGTTACATATAAACGAAAAGAAAAAAAAAAGATCGGAAGAGTTTAAGCTAATTGGAAAGTTGAGTTCACAATTGCTCAGGTACCATACCCCACACTCAGTGTCCCAGTGGGATTAAGGGAATCGCTGTCTTCACCAAGCCCCCCTTGTCCCTGCAGCTGGGGCTGAGGTGGCCTTATTCTGATAATGTCCTGCTTTGTCCAACAGAGCAGTTCTCGTAACCTGAGAATTTTGGGGTTGATAAGGCTACAACTATATTAATTAGAATACTGATGTTGAAGATGGTGGCGTAGGTAAACGCGGTATCGCATCCTCCCATAGCCACATCAAAGTTACAATTAAACTACAGAACAACCATCATTCAAAACTGCCTGAAATCAAGCTGAATGTAAATCCTACAACTACGAAATTAAAGAAGCAGCCACATCGAGACTGGTAGGAGGGGCGGAGGTTGAAGGGCTGGTCCCACACCCACGTGTGGTGGATAAAAATCAGGAGGACACCTCGGCTGGAAAGGTCCTCCCTGAGGACTGAGGGGTCCCTGTCCCACATGAGGTGCCCCGCTCAGGGTTCCAGTGCCAGGAAGAGAATCCCCATAACTTCTGGCTATAAAACCAGTGGGAACTGAGGCTGAGGGAGGCTGAGGCTGCTGGAGCCCCAGGCAGCTTCTCTTAAAGGGCCCATGCACGGACTTACTTGGACTCGCACCCTCCATGCTCCAGTGTAGGGGAGGCAGCTTGAAAGGCACCAGAGACATACAGGGAAGAACTGAGTTGTTTGGCATTGGAGCGAGGGCTGGAGAGGGGGCTTTCTCCTGGACAGAGGTGCTCTCAGAGGCCTTTGTTCCTTTGGTGAACCCTTTCCTGGGGTGGCAGACAGTCGCCACATCTGGGACTCCAGCAACCTGGCTAACACTGGTAGCCCCACCCTGGTGACTCCCTGAGGCCCTGCCCTGCCCAACTTTCAGGCCCACCCAAGCTGTTGTCAGTTGTTTAACCATAGGATTGGCCTGTCTTGGATCCTGCTTCAGGTTTTCCTAAATTCTTTCAAACAAGCAGCGTCTGGTCTCAGCTAGCCCCATACCTCTTGTTAAGCAATACATAGAAACAAACACAGGGAGGCAGCCAAAATGAAGAGACAAAGAAAAAGGTCCCAAATGAAAGAACAGAACAAAACTCCAGGAAAAGAATTAAGCGAAATGGAAATAAGCAACCTAACAGATGCAGAGTTCAAAACACTGCTTATAAGGATGCTCAATGAACTTAGTGAAAATCTGAATGAACTTAGTGAGGCCCTCAAGAGCATAAAAAAAGACCAATCAGAAATGAAGGATGCACAGTCAGAAATGAAGAAGGCACTAACTGAAATAAAGAATAATTTATGCCCTGGCCGGTTTGGCTCAGTGGTTGGAGCATTGGCCTGTGGTCTAAAGAGACCCGGGTTCGGTTCCCAGTGAGGGCGCGTACCTTAGTTGCAGTTTGTCCCCAGCCCTAGTTGGGTTGTGTGGGTGGCAACCACTTGATGTCTTCCTTTCACATCAATGTTTCTCTCTCTCTCCCTCCCACTCTATCTGAACAAAATATCAAAAAGTGTCCTTGGGTGAGGATAAAAAAAAGAAAAAAGAATAATTTACAAAGATTCAATAGTAGAGTAGGTAAAGCCAAGAAGAAAACCATCGATTTAGAATATAAGGAAGCAAAAAACACCTAATCAGAACAGCGAAAAGAAAAAAGAATCCAAAAAAATGAGGATAGTGTAAGGAGCCTCTGGGTCAACATCAAGTGTACCAACATTCACATCTTGGGGGTGTCAGAAGGAGAAGAGAGAGAACAAGAAATCAAAAACCTGTTTGAAACAATAATGGCAGAAAACTTCCCTAACTTGGTGAAGGAAACAGACATAAATCCAGGAAGCACAGAGAGTCCCAAACTAGATGAACCCCAAGAGGCTCACACGAAGACACATCATCATCAAAATACAAAAGGTTCAAGACAAAGAGAGAATCTTAAAAGCAGCAAGAGAAAGGCAGTTAGTTACCTACAAGGGAGTTCCCATAAGACTGTCAGCTGATTTCTTAAAAGAAACTTTGCAGGCCAGAAGGGAGTGGCAAGAAATATTCGGAGTGATGAAAAGCAAGAACCTACAACCAAGATTACTCTATCCTGCAAAGCTGTCATTTAGATTTGATGTCCATATAAAGAATTTCCCAGACAAGTAAAAGCTAAAGGAGTTCATCACCACCAAACCATTATTATATGAAATGTTGAAGGGTCTTCTTGAAGAAAAAGATAAAAATATGAACAAACAAAATGGCAATGA